AGAAATGTGGAGAGGCCAGAGAGTGTATCAGATCACATGTACAGGATGGCAGTTATGGCTCTGGTCACCAGAGACGACCATCTCAACAAGGACCGGTAAGCTGATGTGAACTCTGACGCTTGTTAGCATCTCTGGCCTGTGGGTATGCACCGCTTCTCATGACTCACGCCTCTATCTAATTCTTGCAGGTTAGTTGATCTGTCAAGAGAAATTATTTGCGGCAGACCATACAGGTTCAGGCTGTAGGAAGGGGAATTTCGTGTGTGATTTCTTCAATTGTAAACTGCATTCTGGGTTTTCTCTTGGCAAGTGATAGAGCTTGCCGTGGTCTCGAGAAGACGTAAGTGTGATATTAGGATTTCCAGGGCCTTGACAGTGAGGTGTGGTATGTGTAAAATTCTGTCATTGTATTAGGATGCTGTGTGCTTTAATCTAGCCCCTTTCATGAATACTAGCACCTGTTTGTGGGGTGACTTTTTGGAGGGGTATTTGCAAGATGTAGCTGAGAAAGAGGTATCCTGTCCTTCAGTCAGTAAGTGTCTAAAATGCTTTTTGAGCACAGGACAGAGTTTCCGAACAATATTAAGACAGTAAGTAAATCTCCCATGGATGACACAGGTCCCAACTGTCTTCTATAAAAAGCCCCAAATTAGTTATATTCAAAAATTAGCAAGGTTGGGGCACCTGGCTGGCTCAGCCGGTAGAGCACGACTCTTGATCTTGGGGTCATGAGTTTGAGCCCCATGCTGGGTTTAGGGATTACTTTAAAAATAGATAAATACATAAAAAGTTTAAGGAAAAACTAGCAAGGTATTCTAATAGAAGAGATCACGTGTTCTTGGGTGATCTTAATGGAGGAGGGTGGAATGAATCTGAGGAGTTGACGGGGTAGAGAAGCAGAAGGCATAGTGTGCAGAGAGGAGGGTATAACCAAAGCCCCGATGGTAGGAAATGAAAGTCTATTTTGGAAGTGATACGTAAATCGATTTGTAGCAAAGGTTCATTAGAGTTGAGGAGCCCTGTTACTTTGTAGATGGTGTGGAAGTGGGATTTTTGGCAAAAAGTACAAGACAAACGTGGTGGGGAATAGAGATAACAAACCTAAGAGTAGTTGGAGATTTGAACTAGATGACAGAGACAGGCTGCAGGTGGGACACCTGTGAGGAGGTTGTTAGGCCTTGTGCTGCCTTGGAAATAGTAGGCACGTGGAACAGGGGCGTTTATATCATGACCTGCCTCCATTATTTTGACAGTGATTATCCTCATCACTAATCATTATTACTGATAATCATGGCCATTTGCTTAATGATCAACATGTGCCAGGAACACACATGATCAAATTTAGTTTTTATACCAATCTTAAGATGTATTACTGTCCCTTTTTTACAGGTGACAAAATGAAGGCTGACAGAATCGAGCATTTAAAGAAATTAAGTAACTTGGCAAAGGTCACACAGCTAATAAATGGTTGCTGGATTTGGACCCAGATCTGTCCTACTCCACCCATTTCTCCATGAGGGGCTCATTTTTGACATCTAACTAGTATATTGGGGAAATGATTGTTTCTGAATTTTTTATCAGTAAGTAAATTCTGTAACCGGATCATCTCCTCCTGGCTTTGTCATCTGAAGTTATCAAACTTTTCAAGTGATATTTGAAAAACCAGCCATTTAAAAAAAAAAAAAATCCATGCTAACAATTTCCCCTGCGTTCATGTATTATTGTGTTGAGTATTCACTAGAAGTTTTGAATCAGACTGTTGTGGGCTAGTAGAATATAATTACTTTAGAAAATACTGCATTAACATACCCTGTGAGGGTGGAAGAAAAAAAAATGCATCTTCAAAATAGTCTAGAGAAAGAACTTATAGTGAATCTAATTTTGTGTCATTATTCACCATTTCTCACCTGGTCAGATGTGTACGCCTAGCCCTGGTTCATGATATGGCAGAATGCATCGTTGGGGACATAGCACCAGCAGATAACATCCCCAAAGAAGAAAAACATAGGCGAGAAGAGGTCAGTGTTAATTCTTAACTCCACCAGGGGGGTGGCCGCGGCGCCCCGGAGCTTCAGCTCGCGGGGGCTGGGGCCTTCGCGCCCCCTCCCTCCGGCCTTCCCGCCTCGCAGGGGTGGGCCCAGAAGCTCCCCAAGACGGGGGGGCGCGTCTGCACGGTGGGCGGAGGAAGCGCGGCGGGGCTGTCGGGCCCACCCCAGGCTCGGTAGAGCCTGAACCGCAAGAATCCTGTGTGGGGAGGCGAGCCTGGTGCGAGGCGGGGGCCGGCCTGGGGAGCCGTTCGCGAGGTTTCTGGAGAGCAGCCAGCGCGGTGATGTGTGGGACCCTCCGTGCTGGCCTGCTTCTGTCCTGAGTACACATGGGGCTCACGACCCCTCTGCTGGGCCTCTGAGCCGCGGGCGGGAAGAGCAGAATCCGTCAGTCCGGCAGATTTTAAGTGGGGTGCCTTAAATCTGCCTGTTAGCTACTTCTAGAAATAAGACTTTTTTTTTTTTAACAGAAGATTTTATATAGTGCACACTGGAGTTGTATCCTGTGCGGCCTTCCTTTCCATTCTAGCCTCCTCTACCCATAATTGGTGATTTTGCAGAATTTCTACAAGTTAAAAGCAGATTATCTGTGTCCTGCCGTATTGCAACTGTTTATACAATTCTTTAGAAGTGCAGACTCCTGGGGAGAAAATGCAGTCTCACAAGATCACATCCTGATCTGAACAAAAGGCAGAATCATGACTGGTGGTAGCAGGACCAACTAGAAATGCCTTCCTCCTTTCTGCTTCCAAATTGGGAAGTCTATCACTTGTTCAAGTTCAGAGCTTTCACCGGTGTTTTCTGCGCGTGTTGAATGGGGTTGTTTGAAGGCAAAAAGTCCCAACTCTTGTAGTTAGGAAAAACACAATACTTTACAGTTTTATCTTTATGTCTAAAGGACTCGTATATGTTCCATAATTTACACCTTAGTAATGCACAGTAACTTGACTGTTGGACTCTTGCATTGTATACCTGTGAATTATTTCTCCCTCTTTCTTATTCTCTGACCCCACTGGTTTATTTGATCCCAGATGTTGATCACTTGGTTAGTTAAGCATTTTTTTTGGTAACACTTTCTGAAACCATGACCCTGCTTCTATACCCTATTTCTTGGACTTCCCTTGAAGAGCATTGCAGGTAGTTTAAATATTTATTTTTATAAGCTTCTTTCTCTTCTTCATTTTCATCAGAGAGTCCCCCGGACTGGCTGGGTATACAGAAATGTGGAGAGGCCAGAGAGTGTATCAGATCACATGTACAGGATGGCAGTTATGGCTCTGGTCACCAGAGACGACCATCTCAACAAGGACCGGTAAGCTGATGTGAACTCTGACGCTTGTTAGCATCTCTGGCCTGTGGGTATGCACCGCTTCTCATGACTCACGCCTCTATCTAATTCTTGCAGGTTAGTTGATCTGTCAAGAGAAATTATTTGCGGCAGACCATACAGGTTCAGGCTGTAGGAAGGGGAATTTCGTGTGTGATTTCTTCAATTGTAAACTGCATTCTGGGTTTTCTCTTGGCAAGTGATAGAGCTTGCCGTGGTCTCGAGAAGACGTAAGTGTGATATTAGGATTTCCAGGGCCTTGACAGTGAGGTGTGGTATGTGTAAAATTCTGTCATTGTATTAGGATGCTGTGTGCTTTAATCTAGCCCCTTTCATGAATACTAGCACCTGTTTGTGGGGTGACTTTTTGGAGGGGTATTTGCAAGATGTAGCTGAGAAAGAGGTATCCTGTCCTTCAGTCAGTAAGTGTCTAAAATGCTTTTTGAGCACAGGACAGAGTTTCCGAACAATATTAAGACAGTAAGTAAATCTCCCATGGATGACACAGGTCCCAACTGTCTTCTATAAAAAGCCCCAAATTAGTTATATTCAAAAATTAGCAAGGTTGGGGCACCTGGCTGGCTCAGCCGGTAGAGCACGACTCTTGATCTTGGGGTCATGAGTTTGAGCCCCATGCTGGGTTTAGGGATTACTTTAAAAATAGATAAATACATAAAAAGTTTAAGGAAAAACTAGCAAGGTATTCTAATAGAAGAGATCACGTGTTCTTGGGTGATCTTAATGGAGGAGGGTGGAATGAATCTGAGGAGTTGACGGGGTAGAGAAGCAGAAGGCATAGTGTGCAGAGAGGAGGGTATAACCAAAGCCCCGATGGTAGGAAATGAAAGTCTATTTTGGAAGTGATACGTAAATCGATTTGTAGCAAAGGTTCATTAGAGTTGAGGAGCCCTGTTACTTTGTAGATGGTGTGGAAGTGGGATTTTTGGCAAAAAGTACAAGACAAACGTGGTGGGGAATAGAGATAACAAACCTAAGAGTAGTTGGAGATTTGAACTAGATGACAGAGACAGGCTGCAGGTGGGACACCTGTGAGGAGGTTGTTAGGCCTTGTGCTGCCTTGGAAATAGTAGGCACGTGGAACAGGGGCGTTTATATCATGACCTGCCTCCATTATTTTGACAGTGATTATCCTCATCACTAATCATTATTACTGATAATCATGGCCATTTGCTTAATGATCAACATGTGCCAGGAACACACATGATCAAATTTAGTTTTTATACCAATCTTAAGATGTATTACTGTCCCTTTTTTACAGGTGACAAAATGAAGGCTGACAGAATCGAGCATTTAAAGAAATTAAGTAACTTGGCAAAGGTCACACAGCTAATAAATGGTTGCTGGATTTGGACCCAGATCTGTCCTACTCCACCCATTTCTCCATGAGGGGCTCATTTTTGACATCTAACTAGTATATTGGGGAAATGATTGTTTCTGAATTTTTTATCAGTAAGTAAATTCTGTAACCGGATCATCTCCTCCTGGCTTTGTCATCTGAAGTTATCAAACTTTTCAAGTGATATTTGAAAAACCAGCCATTTAAAAAAAAAAAAAATCCATGCTAACAATTTCCCCTGCGTTCATGTATTATTGTGTTGAGTATTCACTAGAAGTTTTGAATCAGACTGTTGTGGGCTAGTAGAATATAATTACTTTAGAAAATACTGCATTAACATACCCTGTGAGGGTGGAAGAAAAAAAAATGCATCTTCAAAATAGTCTAGAGAAAGAACTTATAGTGAATCTAATTTTGTGTCATTATTCACCATTTCTCACCTGGTCAGATGTGTACGCCTAGCCCTGGTTCATGATATGGCAGAATGCATCGTTGGGGACATAGCACCAGCAGATAACATCCCCAAAGAAGAAAAACATAGGCGAGAAGAGGTCAGTGTTAATTCTTAACTCCACCAGAGATACCTGTTGCTGAAGCAAAGCTAAGTTTATTGGACCCGTGGCGGTAAGAGAGAGCACCTTGGCAGAGTTTGAGCAGTGTCTCAGGCAGGGGAAATCTGGAGAGGATATTTATAGAGTTTAAGGGCCTGGGCTGGAGGATGGTTAGATGGATCTTATGAGACGGACCGCTAGTTAGATTGCACAGAGTGTAGGACAGAAAAGCCTTGGATTGGCAGGACTGGTGAGGCAGAGTCTTAACGAGAGTCTTGAGGAGTAAGCTGTTAGTGCTTACTCTACTTGGGTGGTTGATGGTCTTAACTTCCAGAAGCAAGGATGTCTTCCTGGCGTAAGCAGCACCCTGGTGTTGGTTGGTCTCAACCTTGTTTAACACGAGATCAGGAGTACATGCCTGCTCCCAGCCTTGTCTAACACAGGGACAGGAAACTGTTGGGTTTCTGTTCTCATTAGTAGGTGGACATAGATAGTATGGCTTTCATTAGAATGAGGGAAGTAGCTAGAACTGGAAGGAATTCTCATCCTGGTTAAGCTCTTTGGAAGAAAGTTCTGTAAATCACAAGTCTAATCATTATTATAATTACTTGCGAATTTTCAATTAGTCCTTTAATTTATTGGTTAGAAGTAACAAAAAATATTTGTAATAGTAAGAAATGAACATCAAAAAAATATTAAATCAATATCAATTTGGGCTCTAAATCCAGAGCCCAGGGCCAAGGAGAAAGACATATTTGAGGCAGAGGTTGGAAAATCCAGGAAGGTTTTGTGTTTTGGTTTTTGTTTTGTTTTGTTTTTGTTTTTTTAATGTTGAATAGCTGGTTCTTAATTTGGGGATTATTGCAAGCTACTTTTATTATAGGAGATTGGTCCTAAATTGCTAAGTGGATGGATCCTTCATCAAAATTCTTTAACAGGGCAGGTGAGCTTGAATAGTTGTTCTCAGAGCTGGGGGAGACTGGAGTTCAGTAGCCAGCTGTATTTTTATCACCCCAGAGGCAAGAAGCTCCACAAGGAATACCAATTCAGGAATTCCGACATTATGGGAACAAGGAAAATTGTGTAAGGAAAGAGTTCTTCCTGCCAAAATACAGATCCAGAATATAGCTCAGCATCATGACAGCCTATAAAAAGGGAGAAGGCTGAGACATTGTTTCTCTATAGGAGTCTAGACTGTTGTGAATGAAGAGTTCCTGGATTGATGGGCAGAATTAATATGAAAAGAAAGCAATTAGTTCAAGATACCAAGTGGCAGAAAGGAATTAGCCCTGAACCAGAGGATGTCGAACGATGACAGGACATAGAGGAAAGGGATGGGGAAAAAGACGCCCTAATTATACAGCTCATTTCAGGATGTGGGGTAGTTTTATTCAAGGGTCAGTGTGGACATTGTGGAGGAGAAATGGTACACTGAAGTACCAGAGGGTCCTCAGAGACCGTAAAGTGACACAGAGCAGGGAGAAAAGACAAACTGTCCCCATGAAGGTACATAATGAACTTGAGGCTTCCTCCACAGAGGAGCAAGTCAGAGTCTTTTGGAGAAAAAAAGAGTCCATGGGCAGGTTCTCCAGCCACTGGAGATGAGAGAAGACCGGCTACTGTTTTGACAGAAGTGAGGCCTGGCCGGTGACACTTCGTGGAGGGGCCTGGTGCGGCATGAACAGAGAGAGTGCTTCTGCCCTCCTGGACGCCCTATCCTGGCAATGATGGGAATTTTTCCGGCCTCGTTATACCTCCTGGCGGCTCCCCACTCGTGTGTTTCCCAGGGGACTCAAGGCCATGATCAGGAGGGACAGGGAAAGCATCTTGAAGAACTGCAGGTTCTTAGACAAGAAACCAAAGGCTTGGAAGAGGGCTGGTAGTCCATTGCCTCTTCCTGCTGCTGGTTAGGATTTGGGAACAGAGAGAAAGATCTGGAAGGTGAACAATTCTTTATGCAGATGGTGTTTATGAGCAAGATTTGGATGTCTGAACCATGCATTAAGATAATTAAATGAGGGTTTCTTGGCTCAAGGTGGAATGCACATAATGAGAGTCAGGCAGCATGATTTGCCCAGAGGCTAGCCAACTGCATCAGGAAGGCTTAAGCTGAAGTAGGAGGGAGGGAAAATACTTGGTGAACTTGGAAGGCTGATTGTTTTGGAGGGGAGCAGGTATTAAGATGAAAGGGAAAATGAGGACATGGAAGAAAAAATTTAGGGCCAAAAGCAATACTTATTGTCTGATCCCCTTCCTAAACAAGATAAAACAAACTTTATATTATAACCCGAGTGCCTCATAGGGATCATCAGGAACCCATAGGATGGAACTTGAGGCTGGAATATAGCAATAGCAGGTTATATTGCTTTTTGAAGAGAGAAACATGAAGTCAGAAGGCAGAATCATGGTAGGTATGTATCTGCCAGGGTTAAAGTTGCTAAAAGTTGCTGAAGAACCAAGAGGTTAAAAGGAGAAGAACCAAGCTTTATTATGGGAGTGAACATGGCAAAATAGAGAAACTGAAAAACATAGTGAACATTTTATAGAGTGCTGATTATGTGCCAGATACCACAAGCTTTGTCTGTATTACCTGTTTCATCCTCACGACAGCCCTTTAGGTAGATGCATGCCATTATTCACCCCATTTTACAGATGCGAAACCTGAAGGACAAAGAGGTTAAGTACCTTGCTCAGGGTTCCACAGCCAGTCACGGGTGAGTCAGGTCCCAAACCCCATTTGAATCTATAGTTTGCAGTTAACTCCTTCGCTGCTTAGCCCCACCAATGGTGTCTGAAGGATGCAGGATGCTTTCTGGGTGCTTGACGCAAAAGTGACCCAAGACGTTTGCTGAAAGCTTATTCAGCTCAGGACTTTTGGCAAATTCTTGGCATGCTTTGCTAACGGGAAGAAGCTAGGAAAATTATCACCCTAACTGTGTGTGGACAAGGCGAAACTCCTTCTAGAAGTGGGAGTGGCAGGGCTCACCACGGGGAGGGCAAGTCTGGCATACGCAGCCAGCTACCCCGGAGTTGAGCGAAGTCATTTTCGGAGGGTTCATTTAAAAAGGTAGGCACAATTCTGTGGTGCATGTTGCCAAACAAGGAATATCGACTACCTCGGAGGTCTCGAAAGTGCAGTCTGACTGTATAATAACAAATGATATCAAGGAGTATAGATCCAGAAAATCGTTGTTAAATTTTCAAGAAGAGAGCAACAACATATTTGTTACTGGTTTTGGTTTTTTGTTTTTTTAAAGATTTTATTTATTTATTTGACAGAGACACAGCGAGAGAGGGAACACAAGCAGGAGGAGTGGGAGAGGGAGAAATAGGCTTCCTGCGGAGCAGGGAGCCCGATGCGGGGCTCGATCCCAGGACCCTGGGATCATGACCTGAGCTGAAGGCAGACACTTAACTGACTGAGCCACCCAGGGGTCCTGCTAATTATCTCTTAATATCCCCTTTCAGCCTATGTGTGAGCCTACAAAATACTCTTGTGTCATTTCCTTTATGTTAATGACAATAACTGCCCATTTGTGTAGTGCTTTGTGTTATGCAATAAAAGTATTAACAATAGAAAGTGAATATAATAGTATACAAACAATTTCTTTGAGCTTTGTAATTCAGTGTTACTTTCCTGTTCTTGTTCTCAGGTTTGTTTTGAACTTTAGTATGTTTATGTTTGAAATTTACGTGGGCATCTTGCGATTCATCAGTAAGATGTAAAATCCTTGGCCTCACTTCTGATATTTCTGTAACCATCCCACACCCTCCTCCTTGTCCTTTTGGTGTCTGGTGTGCTGCAGACCACAAAACATATGCTCAGCGAAGCCCATATGAATAAATACACACGTTTCTTTAATGTTCACAACTGCCCTCCTTGTAAGCCGTAAATATAGTCCAATACTCCGCTGCCCTTTGGGGAGCTATTTGTGAGAGTTTGAGCCCATTATTCGGCTTTTGTAGTTGAGTTGTTAACTAGATAAATGTGATCATGATTAAAATAATGGTTTGATATTTCAGGAAGCTATGAAGCAGCTAACCCAGCTCCTCCCAGAGGATCTCAGAAAGGAACTTTATGAACTTTGGGAAGTAAGTGTATATGATACGTTGCTTTTAAGTGTATTGTGATGGAATTTATATGGCTCGTCAGTGTTTTAGTTGACTTAGATGATCATCACAAGCTGTCTCTAACTTACTTTCTGGTTTGTGTCTGTTTCTTACCTCCTGGCTGCTGCAGGAATTTCTCGTGGCTAACAGAAACTTTTCTTCTCTCCAATTTCCCCATTTCCCTTGACGCCATAATGCCTGGTACAGATCTTGACTCAGAGCCCCCTGGATTTCCTGTTGCATTGCTCTCATTCCCCTCCCATTCCG